AGGTCCCTGTTCCCCATCATGTAAACCTGAACCCCTTCTGTGACCCCAGGGCACTTTTGCTGGCCTCCTCATCGGCCTGGCCCAGCTCAACTGCTCCGAGCTAAAGCTAAAGCGGCTCTGCTGCCGGCATGGGTGAGCCCCCCTCGCCCTCCACTCCCAGCCTCTCTCCAGCCTCTGCCTATCTTCCCTTTGCTCTCTTCCTGGCTGGCTGGGTGACTCGGGCCCGGTCGTCACCCCTGTGGAGCCCCAGTTTCTCCTCTGGAAAACAGTCTCAGTCACCCCTTTGCACAGGACTGGGTGGGGCCAGAGCACCTCGGGTGTCTAAGGTGACCCCCTCAGTGTGTGGCTCTGCCCCCACACCCTCCTCTCCCATTCCCAGGCTCCTGGGCGTGGACAAGGTGCTGGGCTATGCTCTCAATGAGTGGCTGCAGGATATCCGCAAGAACCAGCTGCCCGGCCTGCTGGGGGGCGTGGGCCCCATGCACTCAGTGGTCCAGCTCTGTGAGTATCTGGCTTTGGAGGCTCTTAAAACTGCTCTGCCTCTTGGGCAGCCTGGAAGCTGCCACTGGGGGTAGGTGGAGGTTCTACGACAGGGTGGGCAGGGGCAGTGCAGCCTTGGGCATCTCTGACAGCTCTATCCCCCTAGTCCAAGGGTTCCGGGACCTACTGTGGCTGCCCATCGAGCAGTACAGGAAAGATGGGCGCCTCATGCGGGGGCTTCAGCGGGGGGCCGCCTCCTTTGGCTCATCCACAGCCTCCGCTGCCCTAGAACTCAGCAACCGACTGGTGCAGGCTATCCAGGTGAGTAGGTGCCCTGCGTCCAGGCCATACAGGGCAGGGAGGGTCAGCTTCACAGCACCTGATCCCGACCCCGAAGCTCTACTAAGAGTGGGTAGCCTGGGTTCATGGCTTCATTTTGTGAAGAACTGTCACAGACAGGGGAGGCCGAGCGACTGGCCTGGGGCCCACAGTGGTTCCGTGTGGGAGGGTGGGCACCCCAGGCTTTTGCAGCCTGCTGGGTCTCTGCAGCTGGCTGTCTTGAAGGGGAGAGAGGGTGTGGTTCCATTTACAGACAAAGAAACTGTGGCTCAGACTGGCCCTGGCTCATTCAGGCCCTGTGCTTTGCTAGGCCTGGACGGATCTCCAGAGAGGGCAGGGGCTGTCCCCTGAGCAGCTGTCATCCAGTGCCATGAGTCCTGTGGTGGAAGGTTTGGGGACAGGCAGGCATTTGTGA